CTTCAGCTCAAGGCGAGCGCTCTACCACTTGAGCTACAGCGCCACTTCCGGTTTTCTGGTGGTTTATTGGAGATAGGAGTCTCACAGTCTCTCCTGCCCGGGCTGGCTTTGAACCTCGATCCTCAGATCTCAGCCTCCTGAGTAGCTAGGATTACAGGCGTGAGCCACCAGCGCCCAGCTTAGGAAGAGATTTTTTTGACCTGGAATAGAAATGGCTGGGGAGGGGAGGGGGGATACAGGCGTGATGTAGGATACAGATCATGCAGATCACAGGTCTGGGGCCACAAGAACCCAGGCCCCAGCAGATCCCTCCGTGGTATGGCCAGACCCTCAGTTGCATGTGTAAGTGAGGTCCATCCCCCGAGTGAATGTCAGCAGCTGCCCCTCCCAGCCAGGACCTTGACTTACCCCCTTCCTGACTCTGGCGTGACCCCCACCCCCAGGGAGGGGCCCCCCAGAGAGGAAGCTGAGACGGGTGAGTGGCCAGGCTGCTTGCTGGCAGTCTGTTACCTGTTAACTCGGGGCGGGGTCCACAGCCCTGACCACTGACCACTGCGTCCCCCGCAGAATGACTTCCACCGCGCCATCCTGCGGACACAGTCAGCCATGTTCAACCAGGTCCTTATCCTCTTCTGCACCCTGCTGTGCCTCGTCTTCACGGGGTGAGTGCTCTGCATGCCGAGCAGCCTCCGGGCAGGCTGGGGTGCCCAGCCGGCTGCCGCACCTCACTCCAGACTCGCATCCGGGAAGTCACGTGGGCCAAGCCCCTGGCTTCAGGCCTCGGAGAGACTGAGTCCAGAGCACCCGTAACACACCAGGAAGCCCTGAGCTTGTGTCTTGCTCCAGTGTGGGGACCAGCCCCTCCGGGGTGAGGTCCAGCGGGCGCGGAGGGGAAGCAGCCAGGCTGAGGGAGAAATCACCGGAGCTGCCTGCGCCCTGCCCTGTGGGGGCCCTGGAGAGGCCTGGCTACCTCCTCCCACTGCCCACAAAGCCACGGGCAGGGAGGCGTGTGGAGGTCTCTTGCCTTCTTCCCCCCCAACACACAGACCTCAGGGAGGTGGACAGGCTGCAATGGTTAATGTGCTCTGTGACTCAGGGTGACTGTGCCCAGCTCCTTCCCAACAGCCCATGTGACCCTTGTCTGTTCACCCTGGGGGTTGGAGGGGTGAGCAACTGCTAGGCAGGTGCATGGGGCCAGGGAGTGACCCCAGCCCAGTCCGTCAGAGTCGGGCCTGGGAGGAGGTGTGTCCGGCTGTACTGGATGGGGCGGGATGGAGGAAAGGGCTCCTTGGCAGGGGAGGCTAAGTGCCATGAGATTGGGGACACGTAGCAACCCACCCTGAGTCTGCATGTGGCTGAGCTGCTCTGTACCTCATTTCTGTGGGTTTCCCAGGGTCTATGGACAACTGCTGGGAAGTGGGGAAAGTTCAGAGGGCGAAGGATGTGAACAGAATCCAAGGGTCCCGTGGGCCTGGCTCCGGGGTGGGCCCAGCCCAGGGCCTCTAGGACCATGGGGACGAGGGGTAGCACAGCGTCAGGCTGGAAATGGCTAGCAGGGCCAGGTGCAGATGGACAGCCCCCACTCCTGGAGCCAGAGGCAGCTGAATGATGGCTCCTGACTCCAACTCCAAACCAGACCCAGTGTTGGGTCAAGTGTTCACCTGTGGGGAGATCATTGGCTTCAGCCCCAGACTTTCAGGCAGCCCCGCCCCTTCATCATACAGCTGCACCCTTACTGTGCAGACAGACACACCCACCACCATGAAGCCCCACCCCCACCACACCCACCACCATGAAGCTCCACCCACCACGAAGCCATGCTGCAAGGCCACACCCACCACCCCTCACCATGCCTACCACCACGAAGCCACGCCCCTCACACGCAGCCCCAACCCTGGACTTGCAGGACCTGTGGCATCCAGCACCTGGAGCGCGCAGGCGGGAATCTGAACCTGCTGACGTCCTTCTACTTTTGCATCGTCACCTTCTCCACGGTGGGCTACGGTGACGTGACCCCCAAGATATGGCCGTCCCAGCTCCTGGTGGTCATCATGATCTGCGTGGCCCTTGTGGTGCTTCCGCTGCAGGTGCGTCTTTGTCCACCCAGAGGCCTCTGAGCAGCGCTGCGGGGAGCTGTGAGGGCTGGCGGGGTGGCCACGCCCAGGGGCAGGGGGTCCCGCGGAGTGCTGAGTGGTGACAGGTGCTCACAGCCGGGGCGGTGGGCCTGGAGGGGGCATAGGCTTTCCTTCGGAGGAAGCAGAGGGCTCCTGGAGGCCCTCCTCCTGGACATGCACGGGGCCGGGGATGGGGTGGACAGCCCGTGCTTTCCGACCACAGCTGAGTGCAGCAGCCATTGCCAGGCCAGAGGGTGCCCAGAGGGACCACTGCTGACCAAGCTCAGTCCCGGCCCCTTCCAACATCTCCATCTCCAGCCCCAGCCGCCAGCCCTCCTCCTCTCCCCAGAGGAGCTGCCCGCTCCCCTGCCCTGTCCAGAGTTCAAGAGTAGTAGGCCTACCATGTGCCATGGCCTCTCAGTGCAGCTGGGCCGGCCTGCATGCCCCTGCCCTGGGCCTGGGCCCTGGGCCCCTGCCTCGTCCTCAGGGGCCCAAGGCCCTCCCCTCCTGGTGTCCTTGGCAGAGGTGCAAGATGGCTGTTTCTCCCTCCACCTGACCCCAGGCAGCCGTGGAAAAGAAATGCAGAGTAGATTCCCTACACATAGCTGCAGGTGAGGCCTGCGGCTTCAGTTTGGGTGGGGAGAGTCTTGGGTTGCTTTTAATGGTTATAGTGTGAGGCCAGCAGGCCCCAGGTATTTGTGTGTGTGTGTGTGTGTGTGTCCGTGATAGTGGGTGTCAGGCCTGAGATGAAGCCTTAGGACTGGGATGGCGGCTGATGTCTGTCAAGCACCTCTTTCTGGTTCAGGGCTGAGTACTAAGGCATTCACATGAGTGTCTAGATACAGAACACACCACCGACAGCAGCGGTGCTGAGGGCCAGGGGACCCACGGCGGGCAGGGCGTCGTGTTCTGAGGGCCAGGGACCCATCTTCCTGGGCTGTCTCTTGTCCATGCTGCGGGTGCAGCACCATGGACAGCTCCTGGGTCCACACGGCTTGCCCAGGCACCAGGCACCTCGCACAATGAAGGTGACACGTAGTCCGGGATGGCTGTGTCTGAGAATTTCCTAACACATCATCAGTTGGCTGCAGTCAGTGTGGGGTGTTGTCACGGTGGCTGGCCGGTCCGCAGGCCAGGCTCCGGGCCCTCCTGAGGTGGGCAGGATGTCACGGTGGCTGGCCGGTCCGCAGGCTCCAGGCCTTCCTGAGGTGGGCAGGATGTCACGGTGGCTGGCCGGCCCGCAGGCTCCGGGCACTCCTGAGGTGGGCAGGACCTGAACTCCCCACAGCTCCTGCTCTCCAACACACTGCCCGGCGGTCACTCACGTCAGACCGGTAGCCTGCCACCCTCTCTGGTCCCCTCCAGCCTCGGCTCAGGCCTCCAGTCCCACCCCCCCCCACTCCTTTCCTGCTGGCGGCCTGCCCTGCCCTGCACGGGTCTGGTTCTCAGAACCCTGCATTTCCATGGGACAGGGGCCTCCCTCCTGTCACTGCCCCGCCCCGGCCCGGCCCCTGTGCTCACCCCTCTTTCTGCAGTTTGAGGAGCTCGTGTACCTCTGGATGGAGCGGCAGAAGTCCGGGGGCAACTACAGCCGCCACCGGGCGCAGACAGAGAAGCACGTGGTTCTGTGTGTGAGCTCCCTCAAGGTGGACCTCCTCATGGACTTCCTGAACGAGTTCTATGCCCATCCCCGGCTCCAGGTGAGGCCAGCACGGACCCGCCCGGGCCTCAGGTTCCCCCTGGCCCTGGGGTAGTCCGCCCCTTCCCAGGACTGCCCCATGGCTGGCAGACTTCTGAAGTGCCGCAGACCATAGGGTGGCAGTCCACACGCCAGGCATGATGGCAGGCCGCTTGGAGGCTCTGACCCCCACCCATCTGGCAGGACTACTACGTGGTCATCCTGTGCCCCACGGAGATGGACATCCAGGTGCGCAGGGTCCTCCAGATCCCCCTGTGGTCTCAGCGGGTCATCTACCTCCAGGGCTCTGCTCTCAAGGACCAGGACCTCATGCGAGCCAAGTGAGTGCTGTCCAGAGCCGGCACCACCCAGTACGGGGCTGAGCAGGGCAGGCAGGGCCAGCAGGAAGGGACAGGGCGGGCTGGGCCTGGGCCCCCCTCGAGCCCCCACGCAGTTCCCCACACCAGGGCTCTGTCTCCCTCCCGCATGGGGTCCACCCTTGGGGAGTTCCCCTCCCCTGCTCAGAATCTGGGAATGTTCCTTGTCAAGTTGAAGACGCTCAGAATAGACCAGGGGCGGAAGGGCTGGCTGCCGTGAGCTTGTGGGGAAAGTCACGAGGGCTGAGGGTGGATCTGTGAAGACAAGATGACAGAGTTACTTCAGGTGACAACAGTGCTGCTCCATGGAACTTTCCAGAATGTGCTAGTGCTCTCTTAGGGACTCTCACAAAACCCCTCCCCAGCACCCTTTCACTCTAGGAGTGTCCAGTGCCCTCGGCCCCGAGTGGCCTTGGCTAGGCAGGACACTGTGATCTCTGAGCCCACACTGGGCTCAGATGAACACCTTGTCTTCTGTGGCTCTGTGCACAGCTGACACCTGCCGTGGACAGCCCCAGGCTGGCGGGCCGGCAGGCAGAGAGCCAGGGCAGCAAGAAGCTGAGGTGGGGCGTGGTGGGGGGGCTAGCGGCATGCCGGCCAGAGGGGAGCTCCTCAAACTCCGCAGGGCTGCTGCTGCTGCCACCAGGCTCCTGGGAGCCCAGGAGGGAGCTGGGTGTGCTTGCTCACTTCGTCCCCTGGCCGAGTGCACAGGGGTAGGGGAGGTGGGGGTGGAGGGTGGCGGGGTGGAGGGGGTAGGCTTCGACCCTCCTAGCCTCCAAGCGGGGCAGCAACGGAGTGCGGAAAAAAACAGTATGGCTCAGAGCTTCTGCATACCATCTGCCCATGGCCTGGGCCGGCCTGGCAGCCAGGGTGCCCTGCCCAAGGGGATGCTGGGATACCTGTTGGGGGCAGGCCGGAGCAGGGCGCCCTGCCTGGCCCCTGCTCCCCTCTCCTGTCCTCCCCGGGAACCCTCCCCACCCACCACACACCCAGCAGTTGGTGCTTTGCAGGATGGACAATGGAGAGGCCTGCTTTATCCTGAGCAGTAGGAACGAGGTGGACCGCACCGCGGCGGTGAGTCCGGGGGGCGGGTGACTGGACGGAGCTCCGCCCAGCCTGCAGATGCTGGCTCCTCGCACAGGTGGAGCTGCAACACTGACCGCCCTCCGCAGGACCACCAGACCATCCTGCGAGCCTGGGCCGTGAAGGACTTCGCCCCCAACTGCCCTCTCTACGTTCAGATCCTCAAGCCGGAGAACAAGTTTCACGTCAAGTTTGCTGGTGTGTCTGGGGGCCGCGGGGCATGGGGGTACAGTGCAGGCTGGTGCGTCTGGGGCTCATGGTATGTGGGGGTACAGTGCAGGCTGGTGTGTCTGGGGGCCATGGGGTATGGGGGTACAGTGCAGGCTGGTGCATCTGGGGGTCATGGGGTATGGGGGTGCAGTGCAGGCTGGTGTGTCTGGGGTTCATGGGGCATGGGGGTACAGTGCAGGCTGCTGAGTCTGGGTATTGTAGGGTATGAGGTACAGTGTGTAGGCTGGTGCGTCTGGGGTTGTGGGGTATGGGGGTGCAGTGCAGGCTGGTGCCTCTAGGGGTCGTGGGGTATGGGGGTACAGTGTAGGCTGGTGTGTCTGGGGATTGTGGGGTATGGGGGTACAGTGCAGGCTGGTGTGTCTGGGGTTGTGGGGTGTAGGCTGTGGGGTAGCTGGGGCACAGGGTGCAAGCTGGGGGTACTGTACAGGCCATCCACACAAACACAGGTTCCCATGGGACAGCAGACCCTCCCTGCCACCACAGGGCCTCCCTGGGTCTACACCTGATACCAGGGTCCACAAGGGCTGGAGAGGGGGAGCAGGAGCACTGTCTGAGGAGCACCTCTATGGGCAGGATCCTACTGAGCACCTGAGGTGGGGCGGTCGGGGTAGGGACCCATGATGCATACCTCGGGTCAAGTAAACAGGCCTCAGGGCAGCCACGTGGGGAGCAGGGGAGCAGGGCCCTCCCGGAGCTCTTGGCTGAGCTCGAAGGTGGGGGCAGATGCTTCGTAGAGGCCCTTCGTGCTGGGAGTGAGTCCACAGGTGCTGCACTGGGTGGGTGAAGCGGAGTCTGCCGTGCAGAGCGGACCCGGGCACCGGGGACGGTGCTGCAGGGGGAGGGGAGGGCCCTGACTCCGAGTCTCCTCAGACCATGTGACCCCTTGTCCCTTCAGACCATGTGGTCTGTGGGGTCCCGTGGGGGACCCTGACTCTGTGTCTCCTCAGACCACGTGGTGTGCGAGGAGGAGTGCAAGTACGCCATGCTGGCCCTTAACTGCATCTGCCCGGCCACGTCCACCCTCATCACCTTGCTGGTGCACACGTCCCGTGGCCAGTGAGTGTCCTGCCCGACCGCGTCACGCCCAGCCACACCCGGGAGACAAGCAGGGCAGGGCCCGTGGGGCAGGGCGTCCACACAGCGGGCGGAGTCCGGCGCTGGGAGGGGCCGCAGGGGGTCTCGGGGCCAGGCGGGAGGCGGCCCTGGCCGAGGATGACAGTCCACTCCCTTGCCCTGCTGGCAGGGAAGGCCAGGAGTCGCCGGAGCAGTGGCAGCGCATGTACGGGCGCTGCTCAGGCAACGAGGTCTACCACATCCGCATGGGCGACAGCAAGTTCTTCCGGGAGTACGAGGGCAAGAGCTTCACCTATGCAGCCTTCCACGCCCACAAGAAGTAGGCGGAGGCCTGGGGGGGGCTCCCACGCCTTCCACGCCCACAAGAAGTAGGCGGAGGCCTGGGGGGGGGGCTCCCACGCCTTCCACGCCCACAAGAAGTAGGCGGAGGCCTGGGGGGGCTCCCACGCCTTCCACGCCCACAAGAAGTAGGCGGAGGCCTGGGGGGGGCTCCCACGCC